CTAAAGAAGAAAAAAAAAAAAAATTTCTCCCGGAGTCATCCTCGTCGTTCTCCAAGTCTCCAGTCCCCATTGATATCCTCCGGAGCAAAGTATTTCACTCAGCTTTCCATCTCTCATCCTCTTCGAAGGACCCTCTCTCCCTTTAATCAGTTCTGAGGTAACACCTCTCATATTTCAAAATTATGGATTTGAGTTTATATAAGTTCTTGGTAGGGGCATTTAGCTCAACCTCTTCCTCCCTTTCAAGCTTAATTTTGAATGGTGTTGGTTTGAATTCTAACGAACCCATATTCATATCTATGAGTTTTTCTCCAAATGGGTAATTACTGCTTCGTATTTAGTAGAAAATTCTTTATTGTTCATAATCTGTGGTGCACAATCCCATCTTTATGGTGATTTAATCTGCTGCTTGTGTCTGATAATTGAAAATTTTTATCCTTTCTTAGATCTCATGTCAGATTCTAACTTGCATTTCTACTTTGGCCCCATATTTCTCGAGAGTTTTTATATATATATATATATATATGTATATATCATATCTCTTGAAAGTGTTGGAATTCCCTGATATCATGCATAATTACGTATAGAATCATGTTAGATGACTGACTTAAGTCGAAACAGAATTTATTTTTTCGGTGCACTTGATTCTGTTAGGCAAGAAATTGCGAGCTTGTTTTCACTTACTCTGTTTTTAATTTATTTGTTAATATTCACTTCAATCTACTTGTGTGGTAGATGGATGATGTTTCTCTCAATAGTGAGCCAGTTGGTGATGATGATGTTGATGAACTTGAGATTGAAGGAGATTGTGCAATGACAGAATACGCAAGTCAAACTGGTATAATTCAAGGAGAGAATCCACTGCCTCCTGTGGTTGGAATGGAATTTGAGTCTTATGAGGATGTATATTACTTCTACAATTGCTATGCCAAGGAACAAGGGTTTGGTGTCAGGGTAAGCAACACGTGGTATAGAAAGAGCAAAGAAAGATACAGAGGCAAACTTAGCTGCAGTAGTGCAGGATTCAAGAAGAAGAGTGAAGCAAATCGGCCAAGACCAGAAACTAGGACAGGGTGTCCAGCAATGATAAAGTTCAGATTGATGGAAAACAAAAGGTGGAGGATTATAGAAGTTGAGCTTGATCATAACCATTTGATTAGCCCTGCGAGTGGAAAGTTCTATAAATCGCATAAACAGAAAGGCCTTGGTACCAAACGAGCACTACAGTTAGATGGTGCTGAAGAGGTACAAAAGATTAGGCTTTTCCGAACAGTGGTAATTGATGCCGAGGGCAATGGTCAAGCAGATGTTAATGATGGAGAGTCTGGGAATACTCTTAACCAATCAAACCAGTTGAGGCTTAAAGAGGGAGATGCCGAAGCTGTTTATAACTTTTTTTGTCGCTTGCAGTTGATGGATCCAAATTTCTTTTATGTGGTAGATCTCAATGAGAAAGGATGTTTAAGAAATTTATTTTGGACTGATGCAAGATCTAGGGCTGCATATGGATACTTTGGTGATGTGGTTGCAGTTGACACCACATGCTTAACAGACAATTATGAAGTACCACTGGTTTCATTTGTTGGAGTGAATCATCATGGGCAATCTGTGCTGTTGGGTTGTGGTTTACTTGCAGGTGAGACCATTGAATCGTATATATGGCTGTTCAGGGCATGGCTTACATGCATGCTGGGACGGCCCCCTCAGGCAATCATCACTGATCAATGTGGAGCCCTGCAAACAGCCATTGCAGATGTTTTCCCAAGAGCATCTCATTGTCTTTGTTCATCACATATAATGAAAAAGGCTCCTGAGAAACTCAGTGGATTGTTTGAATATGAAATGATTAGAATGACATTGAACAGAGCTGTTTATTGCTCACAGAGGCCTGAGGAATTTGAAGCTGCCTGGGATGAAATGATCCAACGCCATGGAATTAGGGACCATGAATGGATTCAAACTCTATATGAGGATCGCAAACGGTGGGTTCCAGTTTATTTGAAAGAGGTATTTTTGGCAGGGATGCTTCAAATCCAGCCAAATGAGGTTGTGCCATCCATTTTTGAAGGATATCTAGATAAAGGTTCTCCTTTGAAAGAATTTTTGAGCAAGTATGATCAAGCTTTACATGAAAATCATCAGCAGGAAGCCTTGGCAGACATGGAGTCCCAAAATTCAGGTTACATGCTGAAATCAAGGTGTTATTCCGCATTGCAGCTCTCAAAATTGTACACAAGTGAGATGTTAAGGAAGTTTGAGAGGGAGATAGAGGGAATGTACAGGGTGTTTTGCACAAGGCAAATAAGTTATGAGGGGCCAATCATAACATACATGGTCCAGGAACAAGTTGAAGTAGATGGAGACAGAAGGGAGACCAAGGACTTCGAGGTTCTGTACAATGCAAACGAAATGGATGTTCTTTGTGTCTGTGGTTTGTTTAACTTTAGAGGATACCTGTGCCGTCATGCTTTGAGTGTCCTTAACAAGAATGGCATAGAGGAGATCCCACCCCAGTACATTCTATCTCGGTGGAGAAAAGACATCAAGCGGACTTATGTTCCAAATCTCAGCCATGGCGGTATTGATATAAATAACCCAGTTCACAGGTATGATCATTTGTACAAATGCATCGTGCAGGTTATTGAGGAAGGAAGGAAATCACAAGATGGCTACAAGGATACCCTTCAAGCATTGGATGAAATTTTAAGCAAGCTACATCTTGTAGATGGTCATTTGTAAAGACCTGGGGCCTTTTTATCCGGCGTTCTGTCTGTGTTCTATTTTTTTCCATCTCTTTATAATCACTAAAACCAATAACCTGGCTTGCTGAAGAGAAAATTACATCATAAATTTAAAGAAGAAAAAAAAATCATAAAACCAATAATGAAGAGCTTAGCCGAGCATGTTACGTTATATATATATATATATATATATTTCAAAGGTAAATTGGAAAATGTATCATGAATTCGCTGTATCTTTCATCTAAATTTTCATCTTTATTTTCTATAATGGGATAGGCAAGTTGAGACCCTCACAAGAGGAGAGGTGAGAGGAAAAATGAGGGTTTAATTTTTATTTTTATTTTTTGAACAATGGAAAATTTTTTCAAGAAAATAGGAAAGGAGACTTGAGATTAGAATTTAGGTTTAGTCCTAAACACATCTTACAAGGAGAAGCCAGTAAGCCCCCAAGTGCTGGACAAATGAGGGTTTAATTAAATTTGTCTTACAGGTGAAAAAGTAATTTCTTTGTTAATAGATACTCCTCTCGTCTTGAAAAGTTTAAATAATAATTATTTTTTATTTTAAATTAATTATTATAAAATTTAGTTTTAAAATAAATAAATATTATTTTTATTATTTTTATTTTATTATTATTTAATTAAAATTTTATTTTTTATTTCTTTTTTTAAAAAAAATATTATCTCTAAATCTTTAATTTCAGTCCATCCTCTACATCTAAGCTCTTATAAGATACTTGTCAAGACTCATTCCCATGATTGGAAATTGGTTTCGTTCAATCTGAATGTCTTTGCCATTTCCCAAGCTGCCGAAGTTATCAGTTTAACAATACTACGGTTGAAGAAGTTAAAGACAGTTTTTCTTTACTCTTAACCCTCCCGGCTTACCACACAGCTTCTCTCTCTTAACGGTGATAAATCAAAGCGAGAAATATAAACAAAGAGAAAGGAACAGTGGCGTTTATACTTTATATATGTTTGTAGAACTCTTCCCTGCTAAATTAGCAAGAATATGGTTTTAAGAATTTTCTATCATATGCTATCTGGTGCTGACAATGTGTTGTTTAATCTGAGATGCTCAATTGAGGTCAAGAACAATAAATACAAAGTGTATAAGTCCATCTACCAGCCGAAATTTTAAAAAACAGTCCACAATAGACACGATGACTCAAGAAATGTGAAGTACAGAAAAACACAACAAACAGCACTGCTCTCTGCCAATACACCTCTATAGAAATAAATGAGAGAGGAGGTGACCTTGGCTTTCTGATAAATTTTGTTTATCTACTCGGCTTTTGTCCCCTCCTTTTCTGTCACTCTTGCTAAGTCATAAGCAGCATCAGCTGAAGAAGTGTCAATGTCATTGAGACCTAGTTCCTCATTCTGCTCCCATGATCTCTCATATTCCTCAACTGCAAACGCCCGATTCAGTAAACATATTTCAAAGCATGGAACCATGAAATGCTTTTTTGTATTTTTATTACAAAATTCCCTTTGTAGGGAGATTTGATTAAAAAACAAGAAGTCATGAGACTAGCTTATGGCTACTCCATGATAAACCAAGAATGATGTATTTGTAACAGAAGAATCATGTCAACGAGGCTCCTAAAAGATGGTCAAAAGGATGTGGTCGGCCAACATTGGTTAGAACAGTACTTACACATTAACTGATGGTCATCTTTGATATCATCTGTTGCAGGAGCAATAAAAGAATTTGATAATGCATCATCCAGAATTAAAGTCCAAGGCTGCTCCATGCCCAAAATCTGTTAAATATCAAAGTTCATCAATGGGAGAACAAGGATGGATGGAGACAACGTTACAACTATTTTTTAAAGACCTCTATTCTCAGAAGACAACAGTACACACTCATTTACATTGAGCATTGACAGTTGTCTCAAAGAATTTCTTTATATTCATAGCCAAAATCATTTTGCATGTTTCAAGTGTTCCTTATTTTAAACTGCTGCTCCAAAATACTTTGATACTTAAGATGTAATTTAACAAATTTAATTTATTTCAACAAATCATATTAAAATAAATAAAGTTGCCAAAGAGAATGATATAGAAAAACACAACTAACACAAATGGGGATGTATAGTAATACAGGTTTTGAAAAAAGAAGCCCAAGGCACCAAACAATGAACAATGAATAGGAGATTTAAGCGATGCACAAAAATACTTTTCCTTTTTCATAGAAGTTGATAGTTGAGACTCATCAATCACTAGTGATTTTTACATGGATTTTTATTTCAGGTAATTTTGATCACTTAAATTTTTGGCTTCCCAAAAGATTACATAAGCGTTGAACAAGACTTAGTGGTATGTGTCACCACTGCTTTCAACAGAAATCAATTTTTATAAAGGGCTTTCAACCAGAATCTTTGATTTCAATTTGCAACAGTAAAACTGCATTTAACAGATTTTTGCAGAAATTTTTGAAAATCAAAGAACTTAATTGACTGTTTCTGTTGGTGTGTAGCACACTTACTCCTTAAATAAAACCAAACTGAAAGAATCATGAAATGAAGACTCAACATGTAATACTAAAATATACCTACCCATAGTTCGCTCTAAAGTTCCTAAACAGTCCATCAAATAAAGACGGTAATTTTAAATTCACTTGATATTTAATCTGAACCTTTCTTGAGATGTCTGCATCACCCAGATGATCCCCCTTTTTTTTTTTGGCCATTGCATCACAGTCACACAGATGTTTCTTTACAATTGCATCACAAAGATGATAGAACCAGAAATGAACTGCTACTACAATAGAGTGTACAGTGTACTTTGTAATGGTACCTTGTTCAGCCTTTCTTTGAAGTCAGTCCACTTCTTTCTTTTATTTTCATCAAGACTATCTCCAAAAGTGAATCCATGAACTCTTTCAAGGCCTGTGTGTGGAGATCAAAAGAACAAAAAAAATGAAATCTAACACGCGATGGAAAGAAAGGTAAAACAACAGAATGTAACAGCATACTACAGTCAATCTGTACAACCAGCTTTAGCCATGGAGATGTTCTAGGGTATGACACCAGCTTTTGTGCATATACTTCATTTGCCTTTTGATTTTTACCGATTTGACCAGATAAGGAGGCTACATATAAATTTAGCACAGAAATGACACCAAAGGAAACAACCGTATGATAAAAAGAAAGTTGTACTCACTTTCACTAATTTTTGTAATCAAACCTTCAACTGTTGTAACAACGCCACCCAGTGTGCCACTGGCCAACTCCAAGTCAAGTTCTGGAACTTTTACACTTGCTGTATCTGACTGGCAAACCCAAACAGATGTTTCGGAAGACTTTCAGTAAACCTCATAAAATACGATGGACGTAAAAGAAGAGAAAAAAGTGTTTCAAATACATAAAACTGGCTAGAAAAAAGTGTCCATTTTCTTTCTACTGACTATATGGATGACAAGCAAACAGAAAGCAGATGGATTAAGTGACTGGCTTATTTTTAAAATGAACATTCACTTTCATCAGAAGTATTATAAACCATGACCCAACTGATCTCCTAAAAATCCACAGAACCTGCATTCTGCTAGTCACTTTGAATCACCCTTAACTGCTAAGCGTCATAGTTTTTAATGGATCTGATATAGGACTAACTCTTCAAATACTAAGAAAAAGACCCTAATTGCAAGGTAGACAAGATACACTACACAATAATTATAAAGAGTTTACCAATGTGTTGTTCAAAAAAAAAAAAAGAGTTTACCAATGCAACAGAATACCAGAAAACTACCTATATATGCGTAAGAAAACGCACACAGTAAATAATTAATGTCTAGTTAAATATGAGAACAAACCTTAATTACATCACGGCTTAAATCATTAATGTTTTTCACACACAAAGTAATTCTCTTTCCATTCTCAGGAATTCGCCCCCCAGGTTTCAACTGCATGGCAAACAAAAATTATTATCACATAATGAAGGACAAAAAGAAAATGAAGCATAATTACTACCCACCTCAGAGTTCCGATAGCCACAAGCATCGCAAGTGGTTGCCATGACGATTACTTCTTGAAAGTATGGAATCTCTGCAGGTTGTTAAGCTTGACAATTTCTCTGTATAAGATCAGTGGATGACTAATGAAAATGAAAAAGCTTGCAAACACTGTTTAGTTTTTCACTGAAAATAATGCCCACACCAAAATAATAATAATAATAATAATAATAATAATAAAACAACTAGACATGCATTATTAAATCAAGCTGAACGTGAAACATTCCTTGTGATTTTCCATCAACAGCTCACTAAGGAGTATTAAGACTCATATTCATTTATAAAAGAGTATATTCAATGCCATTTACTTAGTACCCTTTCTAATCAAAATAAAGAAAAATTTCCCAAAAACAGCTTAACCAGCAATCTGGCACGGTGAAACCCACAGAAGACCAAACTTTCTCAAAATGTCCATATGTTCAGATGGGCTATGTGAAAAAAATAAAAATAAAAATAAAACTTAATACAAATCAAAATAAATACATGTTTTGATCAATGTGATTGATGAAAAAACTTCAAAGAACTGAACCAAAGATATTTTGGTTCACAAGAGAAACAAGAAAATAAGCAGAAATTGAATGGAAATTTCCATATTGCTGAAAAGATGCAGCATGCATGAGAAAATTAGGAAGGATACTTGTGACAAACATTCGAGTCTCACACCTGGCAGCACAAACTCCGCACGTTGATGGGAAAGTCATAACCTGTTAATAAGAATGAATAAGTTTTTAAGAACCTAACAACAAAATCTCAAATTTTACCACAACAGAAAAACTAAGAGCAGCAATCGCCTTACCTCTTCTGGGGCAGAGTACCTAAATAGAGCTTCTGCAATATCAGAACTATTGCTCTGTGCAATGGCTCTATGACCAGCTGCAGCCCCAACTGATCCATGTGGTTCTCTCGTTTGCTCTGAAGCATTGCCTATTCCCTCAGTTGATGCTGCACCAGAAGCTCCTTCCAATTGTGATTGGTCAACAAGATATCCAAGTGACACCTGTTGCTCAGGTGTTCGATCATAGAACTTGATATTTAATGACTGATCAGGGGAGGGCGCAAACCTGCTCATAAGTTGCAATTTTCTCATCCAAACTAAAACCGAAGCAACTTAATACTTATAATGTTGGAAATTAGCTAAATGAGTTCTCTAATCCATGTGAAAGAACAGAAAACTGAGTTAAAGTAAATCAACGTTTATTCCAACCCAAACATATGAGTTACCTTTTGTAAACATCAAAGAAAGAGCAGGAAACTAATAAGTGAAGAAGAAAGAAAAGACTTCATAAGGCAGCTAGAGATCTTAATTTTGACAAACCATTAACTCTAAATCATGGGCAGAAAATAGAAACATTACAAATTCAAAACAGTAGAGCTTTATTCAATTAAAATTGCCCCTTACGGGTTCTCAATGAAGCTGTTCCCTGTGGGATCATCCAAGATGAAAGTAAAGGATGCCTCTCCTTTAGAACAAGCTCTCAACTTCAACAAAAATTGGTCTAAAGCTTCCGCAGTCTGAGGATCCACCTTCTGGCAGCAGTTGAGAAATTTTGTAAGAAACAGAAAAACAAAATGCATGACATCAACCAAATGTGTACATAAAAACATAAGATTTACCTTGCGTTCTTCTTGAAGGGCCTCTAGTTCATCTGCTGCTCGCACCAATATTCCCTCAACCTAGAACAGTTGCACTTGATATAAGTTGTGTGAAAAAATAAGGGAAGAGTTGAAAAAAATTATATACACATTAGATGAAAACATTAAAGAAAAAAAAAAAAAACTGAAAACAACCAAACAACAGAAGTATGGCCTATTTTTTAAGTTTCCTATTATAGTCACCACCAGAAACTTTTATTTATTTGGGAACCAAAACCCAGGCTTTCTAAGCATTGATTAAAGAGCACAGCCAGAAGCTCCAAATCCAATATATATTACGAGCAATATGAAATTATCTCCTTGTCTGTCCTGTTCAGTGGCAGTGTTCACCATGGAGTTACAACTGAAATGAATTAATTTAAATACATATCTCACCGTACAAGAGGCAAAATTTAGAACTAATTGCAATGGAGAGTCATTTTCTCTCAAACTTTATCCCCATTATCATGTTTTTACTACAACTGTTTTTTATTTTTATTATTATTATTTCCCAGCTCTCACTAAAATCTTATCTCATGAAAATTTTGGGACATGAATTTTTTTATTGAGTGAGGGAGAATAGACAGCATAAAAAATAAAGAAAAACAAAATGCCACTTAAACTAGCACTATAAAGAGAGGAAGGAATAAAAAAATAGTGGTAAAAGAATTTAGAGAGATACTGTTGACAAACTTCCACGTTGAGCCTCTGGAGGTATCTCAAAATCCAGCTCAGGAATCTGCAAGCGGAAATAAAGTAATGAAACAAAGGCTATAAAAAACGTATTTAATTGAGAAAATACAAGGGAAAATTAGAATAATCAACTACATTTCATCTAGAGAAAGCACAATAATCAAAAACATCAATTGCATTTCTCCTCAAACGGTTAATATTCAATGAGGAGCAATCCAATGAAACTTTAGAAAACACATCCATGACCATAATGTGTACAAATTACAAACAAAGGGATTCATGGAAATGAAATGGAAGAAGATTGTTTATTTTTTTATGTCCTCAATATGGGAAAAATTATTAACATAACAGCATTAAACACAATATAATTGAGCAAACCAAAATTTTTTTAAAGAGTAATAACAAAATTTATATGTTTTGAATTTATTGGTTACGGAAGATTAAAGTTTTTCACTCTGTTATTCGTATATGTTTTACACTGTGCTCTGTTCCTAGGGTGATGCCAAGTCCTAGCAACTTTATTACACCAGCCTTTGACTACAATGGTTAGAGAGAATAGCTGTCTTAGAATAGATATAACTCATTAGCTTCTTATCAGCAAATTCTCATTATACAAGTTCCACTTTAATTGCTTATCCATTATTTTGCTGAGAAAAAGAAAAGCTTATCCACCATTTGAAAGAGATTGAACATTTCCACAACAAAGACCAAAATGTTAAATCAATACAGCAGACACAACTTTCATGGAAAAAGATTTCAAATCCTATTCATGTGTTTATGTTTGGAAAATGAAAGATATATACTATTGTACCTTTATGGTAGCAGACTCAGATTTCACAACTTGTCGGTCAAACATCTGCACCAAAGAAATCCATCAATGTTTATTCTTCTTAAATTGTGCATTTTAAGCTTGAATCAAGAGAAGAGAACAAGTAGAAATCAAATAACATTTCTCCACCACAAAGAGATACAGCAAGAAAAGAAAAATCAAATATAACCAGAAAGTGAGCCTAAAAGAATTAACAAAATACTCCATGTCTGTTAGAACAGGTTAGTTATTATCAATATTCTGATTCCTACACATGCATGGCTTTTAAACTGATGGTTACAGCTATATCTTTAGTCAAGTATTTACAACTTATACAAATAAAAGATTTTATCTCATAAAAGACCTTCTGATCTCCTGATGGGACTACCAAACTGTAACAACACCCCTTGGGTTGAATCTCGCCGGCAAACTGAACTTCATTATTCCTATAGATAAAAAAGAGGTGTTGGAAATCAAATGAATTAACCAGATACCAATTAGTATTCCTTCCAATAATAATAATAATAATATAAAATGAAAAAATTACCTCTCACCACAATGTGGGCATTCAAAGGCTGACAACAAGACCTGTAGCCAAAGGATAAATTAGTGAAGAATGCAATGTCCAGTTGAATAACACATTAAAATTAGAAAAGAAGAAGAAGAAGAAGAAGAAAACTCACCTTCCTAAAATGTGGAATTAAAGTTAACAAAAACCTTGAAGTTCCCTACTTCCAATAAGATAAGCCAATAAGAAAATTGATACCAATTTCAATAAAACAAGCAGAAGAAGAAGAAGAAGAAACTTTAAAAAGCTAAAATATAAAGCATGTCATAATTTCTAACCATACTAAAGTAAGTTATAATAAAGAAAAAAAAAAAAGAGACAGAAATTACACGGATGGATTTCAAAAAAATTAAAACTCATAAACGTTGGAATGCAATTAATTCAACTGAAAAAACAGGGGAACAAGAGGAGGACTTACATTTTCGCCGCAGCGCATGCAGAGGCTTTCAACCTGGTAGAGAGGAGCAGAACTGTCATCGTCGGCAGAAATAGCTTCTACAACTGATCCAACATCCACAATTTGCTCCATATTGCTTTCCGAGGCCATCTTGGAATAAGCTCCTCTTCCCTGTATTTTTATCTCGATTTGCTTTGATTTTAGTCTGGAAAAAAGAGAAGCAAGCTTCGACTATTTCATACCTAAAATCGAATAAGTTCGTACCAAAGTGAGACTGAAACTCAAGACTTATTTTGCCAAAGAAAAAACACCTGGTGGCCGGAGCTGATTGCAGGCAAGCAGACGGGGGAGACGGCTGAAACAGGCGGCGCCGGTGTTGCCCTAAACACCCAATATACCCTTTCTTTGGCTTTAAAAGGCTAAAACAGTCTTTCTGCTACTTTTTCTTTTTCTTTTTCTTTTTTCTTTTCTTCTTCTTCTTCTTTTTTTTTTTTTTTTTTTTTTTTTTTAATTTTAACATGGGTTTTTATGCAATTAACGTACCTTTTTAAAAAAATTAATTTAGGCAATATTTTTCCTATAATATAAATGATTTTGATTGAGTTTTTTTTAATATGTAATTTTTATCAAATGTATATCATTTATATAAAATATTTAAAACATCAATGAAAATTGTTTACGAAAAGTAATATAACTTATATTTTAATACATTTATAAAGAAGCATATCCAAAGTCTCGCCTTCAACACAATCCGCCTATAACTAAAAGGAAAATTGAAAAATTAGGACTGATTTGATTAGAAGTCCAATAATAATTAAAAAATAAATTTATATTATATTTATTTAATAATAATAATTAAATGTTTTAATAATTTTAATACTAAAAGGTTATTATTCTTTTTCTTTATTCATAACAGTATTTAAACTCAAATATCTAATTCATTTATTATTAAAAAAATTATTAAAAAATCTGATACCAAGTTACCTATTAGTTATTCTCACCAGAAATAAACATTTAAATCTTAAGTTTTAACCCATGCAATTACCCTTTCTCTCAATTTCCTAGTGTAAAAAAAAGTTATTAGAAAACTTGGATTAGTTATATTATTTTATTTCTACTTTATTTCATTATTTATATAATTTGATAACATAATTATTTATATTTTTTTATTATAAATATAGGGTTCAATTCATACATTTTGTGTATCCAAAAAATTATTTTATTTTCATTCTATTAAACTACTATTATACAATGCCTTAATTTAATTGGATATAAATTCTTTCTCCCTTACTTTCACTCAAACTCACTATTAAATGTGTCAAAATGGTATTTGAAATTATCATTTGTATTCGTATTATTTTACTGTAGATCACATAGTTAAAACTAATTATTTGTAAAGGGAAAATAGTATGGAAGTTTGAAAATACATGAAACTGGCAAATATATATATATATATATATATAGCCAAAGGAACAAGACACTCATACAATACTTGATATAAGGAAATTACAATAATGCAAATAAAAGTAACAAAACTCAATCCCTAGTGTTTAGAAAATGACATTAAAGGAAGACATAGGAAAAGAACAAACAGCAATGATCATACATGAAATGAAAGCGACCCAATCAAAATAAATCAAAGCCCCACAAAGGAACTAGAAAGATCTATAGAGGACAAGGAACTAGAAAGATCCATAGAGGACTTCCCAATACGACGTGGATAATGAAATTAGTGTGCTCACACCATTTCAATGTAGCTAGTTTGAGGGTGGTGGGGAGAGAAGTGACGGAATTGTGGGGATTAAGGGAACATTGCTCGGCAATGGAGGTAGAGTGACCTTTGGAGCAACAGGTAAAGTAGGCTGGGGCATTGTTGGAATGCTAGGGAGTGGAGGCTGGGTTGTAGGTAGAGTAGGCAGGGTAGGCTGAGGAATTGTTGGAACGCTAGGCAATGGAGGCAGAGTGACCTTTGGGGCGGTAGGCAGAGTAGGCAAGTTGGGTTGAGGCATTGTTGTAGGAATGCTAGGAAGCGGAGGAAGTGTGCTGGGTATGGATGGAATTGTAGGCTGCGGGAGAGTCGATGGCAATGGTGGCAGTATTGTTGTAGGCAGAGGCGGTAGCTGTTGAAGACGTCGAGCAGCCAGGCCAACATTCAAGCTTGAGAATGACAAAGCCACGAAGAAAGCCAAGACAATGCAATTGAAAGACGCCATTGTTGTAATGTATATATGTATATCTCCTTAATCAAGTAACTCCTAGCTCTTGTGCTTTGATTGAAGAATGAGGGTGTTGAGGGATGTATTTATAGACTGCAAGAAGGGAACTTAGCCCATCAGGCCGTTGAGAAAAAGCAAGAATTTTTTCTTTTTGGACGCCAAGTTAGCTCATCTCCTCATCAAGATTGCTTTGAATAATTTCCAAACTTGTAAAAAAGTCAGCATATAGAACATGGCATGGCCACAAAATTAAGGGAATCAAAAAGTATGATAATTGGTGGGTCATCCAACATTTCTCTGGATGTGAGGACATTAATCTAGGCTTTCAAGAGGGAATAAGCCAATAGCTTTGTGCCACAACTGCAACCAAAAGTTGAAAATTCAAAGCTATGCATCATTGGTTGTTTACTTGTTTCGCTTCTTCTTAATTTCTTCCCCATATGGAGAAGAAGACTTTGTTTAGTTATTGGTTAACCAGATATGGGTTATCAACTTATCTGGCTAAGCATTAAAAATAAATTGTGTCAAATACCATTTTAGTCTCTCAACTTTGTAGTTTTGTACCAAACAGTCCTTTAACTTTTTTTAATATCTTTTTGGTCCTCTATCTCTCAATTTTGGTACAAAAATGGGCTTCCATATTGAAAATGTAATCAGGTTACTGCTCGGGAAGATAAAAAAATTGGAGAATAAGCTAATAGAATGGTAGGAGTAAGACTTAGGAGTCTAAGTTATTGCTTAGCAATCATTTCATTTCCCTCTTCTCTTTTTTTTAACTACATATAATTTTCAATCCAAACACGTTGTTAATATTAAAATGATAGTAATAAAATATAGAGTGAACTCGTATTGTACCAAGTTATAAAATAAGAATAATTAGACGAGATGATTAAAATGTACTTATACAAAAAAATAAAAAAGAAAGGAAAAGAGGAAGAAGACAATGGTAGAAAGATAACGCTATTCCAATTTTATCCCTGAGAGTAAAACCAATTTTATTTCCTGGGCCGTAATTTACTTCTCATTTCCCTCCTTTTCCCAGCATTCAACAAGCTTCGGCGCGACACCGGTCTTCACCACCGGTAAGACCTCTGTTTGTTTCTCGGTAAAATGTGGGAAAATGAAAATTTCCTTCCATTTTTAATACTCAAAAAATAGTCTATTTTCTCGAATTCACAAAAAAACAGAGAAGAAACGATTGGAACTTTTCTCTTTTTTTCTTTACTTTTTTAAAAAACCTATTTTTTTTCCTATTCTCCTTGCATCTGAACACCAACTAGAAGCCGATTGGTTTCTTTAGGGAAGAAAGGAAAAACAAAGGACTTGGTTGAAGTATTTCTAGTTATATTTTCCAATTTTTTTAATTTCCATTGAAAATACATCCCTCTATTCATGTCTTTCTGTAGAACTTGACTTTTTAGGGATTTATAAAATTGAATAACTTTAACTCGATTTGTCACTTTCATTTCAGCAATTTTTTTTTCTTCTTCCTTCTAAGGTTTGTTTTGGTGCTCAGTGCTGGACTATTGTCTTAGGAATTTTTGTCTGTTATTTGTTTTACAGGATCCAAAGGGAGCATTCATAGATTTTTTGCATGAATTTAGCTACATGGATCAGAATAAGCAGATGTGTTGTTAATGGATAAGGTAAATCTTTTTTTTTTTTTTTTCTTTCCCTTAAAACTAGTTTACTGTGTGTATTGGTATCTAAATATTGTAAATATTGGGTTTTAGGTAGTAATTAATTTGGATATTGATCTTACTGAATTCAGCACTTCCTCACAGCCACAGAGATCTTTAGTTGATATTCAAAATTTTCTGTTCAATTTCATCTTTTATGGCTAATATGCAGAAAAATAGCTAGTTTTTCTTTCTCTGATAGTTTCTAAACTAACTTGCAATTGCATTCTTAGAACATGGACAATTGGTGATAAACGGTCTGTGTTTGCAAGGGTGCACTCAGGTATAATGCTCAAGCTACATTTGTTAACAAATACTGAAGTAGTGTTCTAAAGATTATGACAAATGACAATATATAGTTCAGATTCTGAAAAGTGAAAACAGCACATGTGAAGCTCATGAATTAAAAAATATAAAGCAATAGTTGAAATGAAAAGAGGATAAAGAGAGATTTCATTTTACTGTTATGTAATAACATTAAAAGTCATCTATGGTTAGATTGCCTGCCACATTAGATTTGTTGACCTGAAGCATTGGAGGGTTAGATGAAAGAATCCTTTGCATGACTAGCCCTCCATGGTTTTCAACTTCTTGTCTACATATACGTTACCCCTTCAGGACAGGATGCTAGACGATATAAGATATCTTGTCTACCTAGTCTGTTTGAAAAACTATAGCTGCTATTGTAACTAGTTTGTTGCAAAAATTTTCTCTTATCCTCAATCTTTTACCTGTTTAAGTTATTACTTTTAAGCTGATATGCGTGGAAGACACCTTATTTGGTGTATTTAATATGCTAATTTATTTATTTATTTACATTTTCTCTCTCCAACTTGTCCTACAGTAATTTGAATTGCGAGAGGTAAGAACAGATAAAAAAGATGAAGTTCAAGGCATTTCTCACTGAGAATGGTGTCAGTCTCTTAGAAAAGAGGTTTCTACCTGCCCTAGACAAAATGGGAAAAATATGCCACCTCTTCCTAACCAGGGATCATGCTATATTCCTTCATAACCTTCTGAATGGTGATGGAGTCCAATGCATTGCTCAATTTCGGAAAGAAGCTCTTTTTGATGATTATCGCATCTCAAGCCAGAATGAGGATCGCATTGCCTTTGCCATAGACATTTCCCTTCTCCAACGTGCTGTTCGTAGTAGTGTAAGCATATGTTCCGAATTTGGTAGTGGGCCTTCTGCCAATTGCCTGCAGATTAAATTGGTGAAAAAGCTGCCTCCGAATTGTACTCAGCCAATGCCATTTCTTACCTTTGAAACTAAGGGTTATAAGTCTGCTGTTATTCAAGATGTACCAATATCTAAACCTTTATCTAGGGCACAAGTGCTTGAGCTTCAAACTTCTCTTGATATGGCCCAAGATTTACCTCAAACTCTAGTCCAAGTTCCAGATTTGAATCAATTGCAGAACTTTGTGGACCGGATGAAGCATGTGGGTGATGTACTAAATGTCTCTGTGAGCAAGCATGGGGATCTGCACCTGCAGATCTCAACGACTTTGATCACACTTGGTGCTGAGTTTCGGAAATTGATGGTCATAGGAGAACAAGCTGATGCTCCACCAGAGGATAAAAATCTGAGTGCTCAGACTCGGGCTGAGAGGGCAGTTCTGAGGGGAGATGCACAAAGTGTGCAAGTGAGCGTGAAGCACTTCTCCAAGAGTCTTCAGTGTCACCTGGCCAAGCCAGACTGTGCTTTCTATGGGATTGCTCCACAGGGTGCTTGCTTGACTGTGATATTCCAGTTCTTCATTCCCGGTACTCATCAAACTGATAAATCTATCAGTCTACATTGCAGGCTCCCTGTACTTGATCCTGGGTCCTAATTAACCTTGAATCACAAGTACATAGCTTTCCAGTCAGTGTAGTAGTCATTCTATGCATGTTTTTCTTCTAAGTGGGAGGTATCATAGAATGGCTGCTAGCTGTCCACCTGTCATGTTCTCACAATGTTCTGTTGATACATCTCCCTTCACATGTTTTGCAGGAGATATTGATATTGAGACATGAAATTGTCACTTTGGTTTTAATTGTTAAATTGCAATGTTTTTCTTTCTTGGAACATGCCGTCAATTTCTTTTACTTTTAGCATGTAGAATGCTGCTTATCAGTAGATAGATTCTAAATTTAGTATGGTTACATTCTAAACTATAACTTCAAATTGGAGTTGTTAAGTTTCAACCTTGCAATGGATGAAGAGGAATTTGAAAATCAGATGTATACCACAATAGCTAAGAAATTTCCTAAATAGATTCTGTTCTTACAGGGAAAAAACAAAAAATACAAAAAACTACTTTTATTTTTATTTTCCCAAAAACTAAAAACAAAAACCAGATATTCATAAAACAGAAAAACCATTGTATGCTGGTTTGGAGGGAATTAGACATGGTGCTTTTACTTTAAACATCCTAATTAATTGCTTTTGCCAGTTCATGTGGGTTTTGGTTTCTAGGCAGATGTTAAAGCTTGAGCTTGACCCTCATATTGTAACATTTAACACATTGATCAATGAGTTATGCATACAAGGAAAATTTGCTGAATCTGTGAGGCTTATTGATAATATGGTTTGGAATGGATATATGAACTATTTACTTATAATACCATAGGAAATGGTCTATGTAAAATTACATAGGGATGACTGACGAGACAGTTAGGCTGCTGTGCAAGATGGAAGAAACTGGTTTTCAACCTTACATTGTAAGCATATAACACTCATCAACAGCCTTTGTGAGGATAGGCTCATAACAGATGCTGTGAACCTCTTTTCAAAAATGATGGGTAAGAGAATCCTTCCAAATCCTTACACTTATGATTCCTTAATTCATACCGCGTATACTTCCAAGAAATGGGAGGCTAAACTTGATTGAATGAAATGATTCGTTGGAAAATCAAACTCAATGTTGTTACTTGGACAACCCTTTTGCAATTCACTTACATTGCAACTTAAAAATACATCTAGCCGCTAAGCAAATGAGAAACGAGAAATTAAAGCATAACATTAATAAGATGCCATCAACTAACATAATTTAAACAGGTAAAATACTGAGACCCCACAGATTTACACATACCATTCAATTTCGAGCAAATTCCTAAGAACAGAGAGAATTAAGAGTAGTAGAAATGCAATTACTCTAAAACCTAGGCTCTCTCGCCTCTAATCCTCCTAGCAAGCTGGATGTCCTTGGGCATAATAGTAACCCTCTTGGCATGAATAGCGCAGAGGTTGGTATCTTCAAAGAGACCAACCAAATAAGCCTCAGCAGCCTCCTGAAGAGCTGCCACGGCGCTGCTCTGGAACCTCAGATCTGTCTTGAAATCCTGAGCAATTTCCCTCACCAGTCTCTGGAATGGCAGCTTCCTAATGAGCAACTCCGTGCTCTTCTGGTACTTACGGATTTCACGCAGAGCCACCGTACCAGGCCTGAATCTGTGAGGCTTCTTCACTCCGCCAGTGGCCGGAGCAGACTTCCTTGCCGCCTTTGTCGCCAACTGCTTCCTTGGCGCCTTCCCTCCGGTCGACTTCCTAGCGGTTTGCTTGGTACGAGCCATTGCAGAATCAGAGAGAGAAACCTACTGTTTGGTTGGAAAGAAAATCTGAGAAAATTATAAGTGAGAGATGAAACGGATCTGGGGGATGTTTTAATTTATAGTGAGAAGAGGCGAGGGAATTTGAAAGTTTTGGTGGGACTTTTCAAATTTAAGGGTGGAGCCGTGGAGGGAGGGAGGGAGGGAAGGCGCGGTTTTAATCGAACGGTGGAGAGCGCATCAAAGTAAAGTCACGCGGATTATGATCCGTGTAATCCGTGTGAAACGCAAGCTGACCAATGGGGTTCGCCTGTTTAGGCGCTAAATTTCTTTAAATTTTGAAATGATCCCTCAACTTTAAAAATTTTACCACTTTTGATCCTCAAGTCAATTTTTCTATTTTTTGATCCAAATTTAATTTCCTCGCTCTTTTTAAGTCCCTCAATTTTTTTTTTGGCCTTTGTCCCTCAGTTAGTTAAGTGAATTGTACGAGTTACAAAATATATGAGTGGGATAAATTAAGAGATATGAGAGAGTTGTCGCCTATTAGATAACTCAAGATAAAAAAAAAAGAAAAAAAAGTTAAGTGAATGGTTTTTCAAAGAATTGAGGATTTAGTGTAAACAATATAGCTATTAATTATTATGAGAAATGAAAAATCAAAACGTCTTAATTTTAAATATGTCAAAACATCTTCATTTTTCATTTTTTTTCAATTATTATATACAGAACAAATCAGTTGAATAAAAAATTAAGACAAGTTGATTGATCTTAGAACAAGAAATATAGATATTGGTTTTCCCAGGCGTACAGATTTGAAGCCTTAATCGTAGTTGTTCTCTATAATTAGATCTAGTTACAGAGAGAAAAATTGAATGCTCCATTCTACACATTCTAGGTGATATTGTGTTCTTACCAGTAATCATTACAAGAACATGAGCCATACCTGAAATGATGGTATCGAGTTTGATCTCTAACAATTACTTCTCTATCATAAAGCTTTGACACCAATTTTGCCACACAGTGACAATCCACACACATTCTGAGGTTCTTCACAATTCTAATTGTAACCCTGGGTCCTGCGTTGATTAGTCCAAAAGCCATGGCTAGCTTCTCGCTATGCCGGTATAGTGTGCTTTCTTTATCCTCTTCTCCTATATCCAGGAACACCTCAGAAGTATCAGGTGAATATCCTACTAGTTTCAAGTCACTTTTCATTTCTTCCAGCTTGAAATATATTTCTTCAGATTGAGGATGCGATTGATCGCCAGCTACAAATTCATGAACAACACCATTCATCTCTATCAAACTGCAACCTGGGGTTTTCTTGATTCCTCTGTCCATCATTAGTTTTCTTAGCTGATGCAGACTATCCCATCTATTGCAAGCTGCGTATATATTACAAAGTAAGACATAAACAGCTCCATTATCAGAGTCTAACTCAAGCATCTGTTTAGCTGCCATTTCAGCCATTCCTGCATCTTTATGTACTCTACAAGCAGCAAGAAGAGCTCCCCAGACAACAGAATTTGGTCTCATTGGCATATTCTTTATAACTTCACAAGCTTCTTGTAAATACCCAGCACGTCCAAGAAGGTCAACCATGCACCCATAGTGAGCTACATTTGGTTCTATCCCATATTGGGTAGTCATGCCAGCAAATAACTTTCTTCCCTTGTCTACCAAGCCAGTGTGAGTGCAGGCAGAGAGAACACCGATGAAAGTTATTTCATCTGGTTGAATTGAAGCCCTTAGCATTTTGGAGAACATGTCAAGAGATTCTTCACCGTGGCCATTGATGGCAAGTCCAACAATCATGGTTGTCCAAGTGAATTTGTCTCTCCGAGGCATTTCACTAAATACAGTTCGTGCTTTCTTTACACTTCCACATTTAAAATACATGTCAAGCAGAGCATTTCCCACAAAGATATCATTCTTGACCTTGTTTCGATCAATGTAGGTCTTTATCCATTCTCCTAACTGTAGAGCCCCTAGGTGAGCACAAGCTGTGAGAATACTGACCATAGTGAACTCATCTGGTCTTACATTTGCTGCTTGCATCTCGCGAAACAGAGTCAGGGCCTCTTTAAAGCAGTTCACTCGAACATACCCATCAATCATAGCAGTCCATGAGACATAGTCTCTTTCTGGCATCTTATCAAAATACTTGCGTGCCAAATCAACCTGTCCAATATTTACAAACCCTGTAACAACACTAGTCCAAGAAATTACATCCCTCTTCTTCATCCTGTCAAAAATCCCAAGTGCGACATCCATTTCCCCACAAGCTGCATACATATCAATCAGAGCATTTTCCAATATCAAATTGGGTTCTATCTTGCATTCTCTAACATACCTATGGACCCTCTTGCCAACCTCCAAATCCTTCAATTTGGAGCAAGCTGATAGCAACGAAACCAAGGTGACCGCAGAGGGCACCACCCCATTCTTCTCCATTTCACAGAAAAGCTTACTAGTTTCATCATGTTGCTTCATTCTATTATACCCGGTTATGATCACATTCCAAATAACCACATCTGTCTTGCTACTTCTATCAAAAACCCCACGAGCCATACGCATTTGCCCACACAAGGAGTACATATTTACCAAAGCAGTTTGCACAAAGGCATTCGAATCGAACCCAAATTTCACAACATGAGCATGCAATTCCCTGCCACATTCCAACCCAACCTCACGCGTAAAACCCTTCAACAGAAACGGGTACGTATAATTATCCGGTATAACATCCCTATTCAGCATACTCAAATACATGGAAACCCCATTTCTAGGACAATCCACTCTAGAATACCCTTTAATCATAGTGTTCCAGAGGAAAACACCCGGTTCAGGAACTGCATCAAACACGTTGCGTGCATAACTAACATCGCCCAAATCACTTGTACAACAGAACGCGATGATCTTGTTTTGCACAGATGGGTTTGTAAAGAGGCCGGTCTTGATAGCTTGGCAGTGGAGTTGCTTGAGCTGGTGCATTGATTTGCAGGTTTCGAAGAGGGAAAGAAGGGAGGTTTCTATGGAGGTGGGTTGAGGGGAATGAAGTGACGATACAGACGCCATGGAGGAGATCATCATTATCTTCAAAGGACTGAAGAAGAAGGGAGCGTTGAGGAGATTGGATTTATGTGGTAGATTGAACGTGGCATGGAAGAGCATCAAGCTCGTTTCGCATTCCAACTACAGAAAAAGATCAGAGCTTTGCGTTACTCTCATTCTTTCCATTCTTTCCTCCGACGCAATTATACCACGGTATATCGGGTGGA